ACACACACACACACACACACACACACACACTAAATTTAAGGAATTGCTCTGCTGAGTACAATCATATTATGTGGCTGTCAGAGGCCCCACTCTGGGGAGAGCATTTCCAGTGTCAGCTGAGAACCATTTATCAAGGGGTTGAACAATTCCTCTGTCTCCTTGGAAACTGCCTTAAATAGGCAAAAGGTTAATTGGAAAAAGAAAAAACAGCCCACCCAACCCAAACATCTATGTGTTTATCTCTGTCTGCCTTTCCATCCAATATTAAAGTGATTGATTGTTTTACTCTGGGGAACACACAGCTTTTATGTGAGCTGACCAGATGTAGGGGAGTTCAGGACTGACTCTCATTGAAACAATTAGGGAGAGTCCACAGTCTGAGAATCAGAGAATTCAGCTACCCTGTAGGAATTTGTATCATATTATTGTTGTCCTGTGTTGATCAGGAGGCTCACACCAACCCTATTAAAGCAGATAAAGGACTCCTATGGAGACAGTTCTGTAAGCTGCCACAGAAACCTCTCCCCTGCTATATGAAGACAGGTAAATAGGATATGGTAGAAATGGCTGTGATAGCTACTCCTGCAATAGAAAAAAGATACACTTCAGCTGGTGAAGGATATGGTTGCAAACTGGAGATTTACAAAGAAAGTATAAAAAGCTAATTATATCTTGATGGACTATATAATGATGAGGGGAGACATGATAAGAATCCACAAATATCTGAAAGGTATGTGTAAACCTCAAGGCTGTGGAAGAACTGTAGAAAGTGGTAAGAGAGGCAGCTGGTCTGATTGATCGAGTAGGCCTTTTCCATTTCTAATTTATCTGATTTAATGAAGGCCCAGAGATGAAGCAGGCTGGGTCAAACTGAGGAAATATGAATCATTCCCAGATCTTTCAACATCATCCAAATGAATATGAACCTTTCTTGATATTCCTACACTGGAAAAAGTCACAAATAATAATATGCATCACTGTCCAGATGTTTGGAAAAAATCCTCTGTTGTGCATACGAATGCCAACAAATGGAGCAGAATGGTATTGCACACCCGGGAATTCCACCTTTGAATCCAGCCTCATTTAGGGAAATGAATTGCTCCATAGATTGTTACTATCTCACTAGTTAGCAGACCCATGTGAGCCTTTAATAATGAATCAGAAACTGGGCACAAAATTCACCTCCTCTGGGGGTTTATTACAGACCCAAAGCTCACATGACTTTTACTAAGCTTCATGAATCTTTCAGTGTACCTGGGTCAAGTTTCAAGCAAGAACATCTGAATCAAGTTTTGAATGAACCTCAGGAACTTTTGTGGTTTTGAATGGAAACCAGATAAAACTTGATGGTTTTGACTGAGGTTTGAGGTTTTGGGTTCAAATTCAGAACTCAAAGGGAAGGGTAGTGAACTTAACATAGGCCAGAAACTTTACAAAGTTTTTATAGCCCTCTGTCATCATGCCTCTCACCTCCAGACCACTTCCCTGAGTCTGGGTGTGGTGGTGCAGGGCTTTTTTTCAGCCTGATGCCCTCCGATAGTCATTCTGGTGTCACAACATCTATCTTT